GTCAGCATCAGCACCACGTCAGCATCAGCACCACGTCAGCATCAGCACCATGTCAGCATCAGCACCACGTCAGCATCAGCACCACGTCAGCATCAGCACCACGTCAGCATCAGCACCACGTCAGCATCAGCACCACGTCAGCATCAGCACCACGTCAGCATCAGCACCATGTCAGCATCAGCACCACGTCAGCATCAGCACCACGTCAGCATCAGCACCACGTCAGCATCAGCACCACGTCAGCATCAGCACCATGTCAGCATCAGCACCACGTCAGCATCAGCACCATGTCAGCATCAGCACCACGTCAGCATCAGCACCACGTCAGCATCAGCATCATGTCATCACGTCAGCACCACGTCAGCACCATGTCATCACGTCAGCACCACGTCATCACGTCAGCACCGTGTCAGCATGACTCACTTGTCGTCCGCCGCGTTCTTGCCGCCCTGCCACTCCTTGGGCCCCGCGTCCTTCGTGAACTTCTTGTCCTCCTGCGGGGGGCGGGGGGGTTAGGGCACTGCACTGCAGTGTGCTGTACAGCACTGCACTGTGCTGCACTGCACTCTACTGTGCTGCACAGCACGGCACTGCACTGCATGTATGCATGAATGATGTACCATTGAAATGCCTACAGTGCAAGCCCCCAAATGAAGAATTTCTTCTTCCTTATCACTTTTGCAGAATTGCTCTTTGAAATTTGGAGCAAACATTCAGACTGCAACTATTGTACGCATTAAAAAATGCCAGGTTTGTATTGATTTTTGCCCTTAGCTAGGCAGCTAAATTTTGTAAATTTGAATAATCTAGTGTCCCCCCAAACCCCTCACACCCCACCCCACCAAAAAAATTGAAAAAATATCCTTCACCTCACACACTTCACTGTAGACTTTTAGTCATTACTAATATCTTTAAAACTTTTCTATGCACTTTTGACTTGACTTATATCAAGAAAATGTCAAACATGAAGTTCTATTCTCAGTAGCGCATCTAAATATCCAATGATATTTAGCGGTAGACCCTCATATATCCCCCCACAGATAGGCCCTCACCTCACACAGCTCCCCCACCAGGTAGGCCCTAACCTCCCACAGCTCCCCCANCCCCCACCAGGTAGGCCCTCACCTCACACAGCTCCCCCACCAGGTAGGCCCTCACCTCACACAGCTCCCCCACCAGGTAGGCCCTCACCTCACACAGCTCCCCCACTAGGTAGTCCCTCACCTCACACAGCTCCCCCACCAGGTAGGCACTCACCTCACACAGCTCCCCCACTCACCTCACACAGCTCCCCCACCAGGTAGTCCCTCACCTCCCCCAGCTCCCCCACTCACCTCACACAGCTCCCCCACCAGGTAGGTCCCCATCATGTCCCGCGCGTCAGTGGAGTGCCCCACGTCCTCGAAAGCGTCCGTCGCGACGCGCCCCGCCTGCTCCAGCAGCACCTCCTCCCCGCCAGGGTGCTGAGGAATGAAGCGTAGTATAGGTGATACTCCACTTAAGATCATAATATTAAACATACATTTAATAATATTAAATATTAAGAAATTAATAAACTTAAAATATTAAATATGAATTGTTTAATTTAATTGTTTGAACTATGTTTAAGGTAATTGCGACTCCATGTAACATCATAATATTAAACATAGATTTAATAATAATAATATTATTAAACTTAAAATATTAAACACAGATTGTTTACTTTAATTACTTGAACTATATTTAAAATATTAAACATAAATTGTTCAATTTGATTGTTTGAACGATGTTTGAATTATTAAATATAAATTGTTTAATTTAATTGTTTAAACTATGTTTAAAATATTAAACATAGGATTGTGTGAAGAAGTTCGAAGTCGTTAAGCAATTGACTGTAGATATGGCTGCACCGCAAGACGAAGTAACATAACTCGGGAGCGAGTTAGTCTACATTTTATGTTGGCCGAGGGCAGTGTGAGGGCTGACCGAGGGGAGCTTGGAACTGTCGCTAATGGCGCAGTGTCTTTTCTGCAGGCTTAAGTGAACGGCGCGACTGCCTATATAGTAAGGACAATTATATATAATTACATAATTAGGCAAAATTATTATAGACAGTCGCCTATATAATTATATAATTAGGCAAAATTATATAGGCAGTCGCCTATATAATTGTTTTTATACAAACCACTAAATTTATATAAATTAGCGCCTAAGGGTTGTTCTTCTATTGTTACCGTCACGCAAGTACGGCATGAAGATAACTCCGCAGACGGGGGTGACGGCTCCGGCCGTTCGTTTGAGAAATAACGACCAGGGAAAACTGCAAGTCATTCATACCACCACGACTCTGATGTAACAGCGTCAATAATGTACAAGTAAGGATATCCACTTCGCCATATTTGTATTGTCAACATCAACGGCTGTGACTTAGCCGCGAGACAACACTAGAGACAACAAAAGGCTCAACGATTAGAAAATCAAAGTATATATAGTATAAAGTATAGTAGTAAAGAAGTACATATATGCTTCTTTATATATATAGTATAAAGTAAACTATAGAGCAAAAGAAGTCAGAAGATGCAAGTAAGCGCACCGAACAGCTGTTATCAACGGTATGGCGTACCGTACGTTGATAACAGCTGTGCGCGGGGACGAGCTTTGAGTAACATAATTCGACGATGAAAACTACGGCATCAACTAGAGGCATGGTCATTAAAATATATGGTTAAACTGACCGCGAGACATGTTTATGAGCGGTGCGACTACGGCTAAGACAGAGGAACTGCGCAACAAGACGGCCGCCTGGACACGACTGCGGTAAGGTCATTGACAATAATATTGCCACGGATACAGGCAAGGGCGGATGGATGCGAGGCAAGGGGTGGGGTATGAGGCAAAATTGTCCAATACTCACGCGTTAGATCGTCCAATACTCACGCGTTAGATCGTCCAATACTCACGCGTTAGATCGTCCAATACTCACGCCTAAGATCGTCCAATACTCACGCGTTAGATCGTCCAATACTCACGCGTAAGATCGTCCAATACCTGTCTCTTATACACATCTAGATGTGTATAAGAGACAGGTCCAATACTCACGCGTAAGATCGTCCAATACTCATGCGTAAGATCGTCCAATACTCACGCGTAAGATCGTCCAATACTCACGCATGGAATCGTCCAATGTTCACGCATGAATTTGTCCAATATTCACGCATGAAATTGTCCAATGTTCACGCATGAAATCGTCCAATGTTCACGCATGAATTTGTCCAATATTCACGCATGAATTTTTCCAATATTCACGCATGAAATTGTCCAATGTTCACGCATGAAATCGTCCAATATTCACGCATGAATTTGTCCAAAATTAACGCATAAAATCGTCCAATATCCACGCATGGAATCGTCCAATATTCACGCATGAAATCGTCCAATATTCACGCATGAAATTGTCCAATATTCACGCATGAAATCGTCCAATATTCACGATGAATTTGTCCAAAATTAACGCATGAAATAGTCCAATATCCACGCATTAGATAGGCCTGCCTAAGCCGTACCGCACCGCAGGCATAAGCTATAGGCCTCCTCGTGAACCGGCCTGGCGAGGCGGCGCTGATTTTTATCTCCAAAATTGAAAAACCGCCGTCATTTCGGAGACCTCAATAGCTTCACCTAGCAGGTGTCATCTAGCAGGCATTACCTAGGTGTCATCTAGCAGGCATTACCTAGCCGGCATGCCATGTTATCTCCCATGTGGGGGCTGTACTGATAAATCAGTCCCTTAAGACTATCACCAGCTTAGATGAGATTTCACCTAAACATTGTTTCATATTTGAAACTTTTCTAAAATTTCAGCTAAGCAAATAAAATGTAAAGCAACAGATCCCCAAAAACATCACCGACTGCACAGTGCAAAATTTCTACCTTCAGGTATATCAAGGCTAGCCAATTATTTAAAAATTTATATCTGTAAAACTTTAGGTGGTGCTCCATAATTTGCCTCAGCACTTCATGGTTACAACTTCATGACAACATGAAAAAAATGAATGAGAAAGTGTAAAATCTTTAGAGACCTCTAAGAATTTATAATTTTTAATAATTCTCAACACAAATAGTTATTATCGCCATAGGTCACATGATATTTACGCAAAATATTAGAAATTGATTCTCTTATTCAAGCACTGGGGCCATACTTTAAAAAAATTCTGCTCAAAAAGAACCTCGTATCCATAAATGGTTAGAAGCTTGGAAGCTCTATTTGCAGATTGGAAAGGAAATATATTTAATGATGTCAAATTTGCTATATTGAGTTATTTTTTTAATATCGGGTAAAAACTAGGACAGTTTTGGGCGTTTTTTTGTTAATAACTTCTTAGGATGAAACATTTCATAAACAAGTTTAGGCTCATTTTATAGCTCTTTGCGAGGGCTATTGAATGGCATTGTCAAAAAAATTCCATATGCTATTTCTAAGGTGCCAGAAGCAAAAAAAGTGTCACTTGCAATAAAACTTCATTTTAAAATGTTTGAAGCATGCAGAGTGTACTCATCCATTACTAACAGTACTCTGAAGTCCTCTTTCATTGTAGATGATGTAGAGGTAGAATAAATGACATTTTCATGATTTTTACTTGTTTTTCCTTTATTGATGTTATTACCATAAACATTAATTACCATCAACTGGGGTGACTTCGGACCCGTTTTTTATTTTGTTTTGCAAACAAAAACGGGGTCGTAAACGAGGTCATAAACGTTTATGCGCCATGCGCTCCCGTTTATGCGCCATTTCAATTGGGTTAAGTGAATTTACTATAAAAAAAAGATTGTGAAAAAACATACCTGAAACAGAAAGGAATGTTTTAGTGACAACCATCACATATTTTGGAGAAATAAATCATAGTTTAGGTCAATTACTTTTCATTCTATAATGCCGGTGTAATTATATATATAGCATTCTATGTACAATTTTGTGACGACCGATGATGCACTAATTTTTTGACAAGTGAAATTTGTTTCGCCGAGCGAGGTAAATGTAATCAATATTCTTTGTTTTTAATCCATTTTTTTCTTATCTAGACCCTTTGCTTACTGAGGTTCTACTGTAAATGCATTTTTGGGGGTGTCCCAAATAGCCCCGGGGGGTGTCCCGAGTAGCCCCGCCGTGCGGAAATGGCCCCCATTTTTTTAGAATGATATAGGACAATTCCGTCAATTACTTTTTCAAGCTGACACCTGGGTGCATCTTTTATGTAAGTAAAATTTTTTAATATGGCGAATTTTTTTATGGCTACAGACCTTAGCAGAAGTAACTTTTCAAAATAGCGTTTTCACCATTTTTTTCAGGAATTTTTCAAAGCTAGTAAATGTAGTATTTTGCGACTTCCTTTATACTACATAGATAGGAAAAATGTTGACGTTTACGCCACTATATTAAGTTTTGCAATATTCCAATTAGTTTTGCTACTATAACAGTTTTACGCCGTGTTGGAGGACTGTCCCGCGTAGCCCCGCCCGTCCCGAGTAGCCCCGGTTGAGGCTATTGCTTTAGAGGACATTCTAAAAAATCTAAGGTAAACAAATTATTTTTCTACTTTAAAAAAATAAGAAGGGCTATTAAAATGGGTGAAATTGATGGCAAGGAAAGGCTTTTGTGTCTCATCAACAGGTGGCTTCTGCCTGATTATGCCAGAATGACTTGCATACATTCAATCATCAATTACATGACTCAGGCATGGAATATATCTACTGTTCATGCTTTGACTTGAGATTTCCCACCGTATTTAGAGTTGTGAGATACCCACTAGATGAATTATCTCCTATCCAACTGTTAATAAAACTGCAGGATAAGGCTGCAAGATAACAAATAAATGATTAGTCACTTTGGAGCCACTTGCTTTCATTCATATGTAGAAAAATTACAATCTAGTGGCAGGTAAGTTGTACTTGTAACTCAGCCATATACAGTAGGGGGAAATAAATATTCATACACTTGAAAAATCGTATTTTAATGTATGTAAGTACACAAACTTAATAGGAAAAGTGATTTAAATTATGTATAGAGACGCATAGTATTCAAAAATACTATCAAAAGANAGAAAACACTTGAAGCATGCAGAGCGTACTCATCCATTACTAACAGTACTCTGAAGTCCGCCTCTTTCATTGTAGATGATGTAGAGGTAGAATAAATGACATTTTCTGTGATTTTTACTTGTTTTTCCTATATTGATATGATATTGCCATATACATTAATTACCGTATTATTGATGTGAAATTATCGTATTATTGATGTGATATTACCGTATCCATGAACATGCCATTGAGCATTTACAACAACCTTGTCCACTGCAAGCATCGTATCAGCAGCCTTATAGCATTTTTTTTTGTATCTGTAAGCTTACAGGATGGCTCGTAATTTCACATCATTTTAATTGGGTTAAGTAAATTTACTATAGTAAAAAAGATTGTGAAAAACATACCTGAAACAGAAAGGAATATTTTAGTGACAACCAACGTATCTTTT